TAGGTTTTTTTTTTTTTTTTTTTTTTTCCAATAGGATAGAAAGAAAGAAAAGACAAAGTAAGACTCCAAAATATAAGAAATATATACAAATAGAGCACACGTCAAAACACCCGGCCACTGTCTGTTCACCTGCAAAGAACATGACAAAACACAGCAACAAAATACATATGTATAAAGAACTTAAAATATTCATGGCTTTGCAGTAAGTTTCCATAAATATATATACCCATACCTACGCCTATATACATACATACATACATACACATGAATATACACTCACATACATATCTATATATCTACATATAAAGCCTAAATAAGCATCCCTGCTTCTATTTGTGTGTGGTTGTGAGCATGCATAAGTGTATAAGGCTTCTCTAATAGAACATTTATTAGTAACTGTGAAATGCCAAAGTGGTTTTAAACACCAAAGTTAATGCTCAATAATTAAATCCAACAATGTTGTCAGGTCATCTGGACGGTGTCTTCATCTCAAGTTTTTTTTTTTTCATTCATTCAACCTTTATTTAGACAGGTTAATCCCATTTAGCACCCCTCCAGCCCTCGTTTAACCTGTAATTGGACCCCCCCCCCCCCAAAAAAACTCCTGAGTATTACCCAAACAATACTACGGTCAGGCCCTCTTAGGCTGGGTTCGAGAAAGATTTGACCAAGCACTAACAACCTTCATCTGCAGGACGGACCCCGCCGAGTCAAGTAGCAGTGACCCCAAAGTTTACCATAAGGTATCCTGCATCATGGCTGCTCTTCCTCTATTTGACGTTTTGCAATTGATACAAGACCTAGTAATTTTCCTAGGGCAGTAGAAGTTGGCCATATGGGGATGCTGTTCAAAAATCTAACTAAGTACCCATTCAAAACCTCCAAAAATCTCAGAACCAAGCAGACTTTCTCACCAAGTTCAGCAATGAGTGTGCATCATTCAGATGCCATCAGGTAAATGAGTCCAACACTCTACAATTTTCATGCTTTGTGTTTTTAATCATAAATTTGCATAAGGTTACACTCATTCGTAGCTTTCAAAAATCCAGCAGCAGTGCAAGCTAATGCGTTTCAAAAAAATGCAGTATAATGAATGAAATAAAAATGTAAAATATTGGTGAAAATCCAAATTCAGTTGTGGATGCACCAATCTCTTATAGTGCATTCACACTAACCCTGTTTAGTCCGCTTAATCGAACTCCAGCTCGTTTTCCTAGAAAGTCCGGCTCGTTTAGGGAGGTGTGAACGCACCATCGAACTCTGTCACGGAACAAAAAGGCGAACTCTGGCCCGGGCTAAAACCTAGGTCTCGGTCCGGTAGAAGCGAACTCCAGCGCGGTTCGAGTACAGTGTGAATGCAAACAGACTGGACCCCGCTCCACAGGGTAAACAAACACGCTGACCTTATATGGAGCCGTCAGCTGCCTTGTGTGAAAAACAATATTCTCCATGGTCTTCTGTCTCATCTTCTGCTCATGCTAAGTCCATTTTTGAAAAATGATAAAATATATCTCCTAAAACTGCTAAAACTTGATGCCACTTCGTTTTTATTTTTATTTACAGAAGAAGAAGAAGAAGAAGTGTCTTCAGTGGTTTTTGTGTTGTTTCTGTCAGTAGTTCTTGGTGCAGCGCCCCCACAGGCGAGCGAGGGAATAGGTTGGTTCAACAGGTTGACTCGACTGCACAGTGCAGTGTGAATGCAAACTCACCAGCTCAAATGTAACAAAAGGTCATCAATATTGGTCCCGAACTGAGTCTACCGGATTATCTGGTGTGAAAACGACCTTATAATAATCTCTTGTAATGGGCCTATGCCCTAACTGTGCTGTCCCTAAGAAAAACCACAAATTACAACATATAAAGTATAATTTTTAAATTGAATAAAATGGTTCAAAAAGGCAAGTTCCTACAACATATCCCATAATTGGATCAGTTTTCCAGGAAAAGGAGAAAAATTCCTACATCTTTTGTTGAAAACAGTCATCAAATGTACAAAGTAATTAATTCCCAACAGCGACTTGCTCAGAGTTATCTGGGGTCAGTCCTCTTGAAGGGCGATCATGTGCTGCTGAGCGGTTCTTCATTGCTTTAGGTTTTCATCTTTTGTTGTTTCTTCAGCTCTTCTGCAGCCAAAATCTTCCCTCGTCAATCTTCAGATTTGATCCAATTCTTCAGGGCTTGATGACCATGTTTCATCTCTACCCGAAATGACGGACTGACTTTCCTCTGCCATCTTGTCTTTTTAAACTCAGCTCTCGTCTCTGATTGGCTTGTTTCTGACCTAATCATCTATTCCTTGATTGGCTCATCTATGATCTAACATCCATTTTGAAAACTTGTCAACTGTTTTGAAGACTTTTCAACAGTTCAACAGTTTGTCTTCTTTTTTTCAGCTTGTGGTTTTTATGCACCAGCTTTCTGTTCCTTTCTGTTCTGTTATTCTCGAGACAGGTGCTCTGCCTCTTGTTGGAGTGTTGCAACTTTTGTTCAAAATATCCTGATGCATGCTCAATAATCCAGGTAGAAAAAAAAGTTAAATCTGGTCCTCTGGACAATCAAAAAACAAAACAAACCAAAACAACAAAAAAATGTAGAAACGTTTCGTCTCTCATCCGAGAGACTTCCTCAGTCTGAGGAGCTGTATTCAGCTCAGTCTCTTAAATAGCACCTTCTCAGAGTGGATCAACCAGTTTGATGCTGACAACCAAAACCAGCTGCTCACATGCTCAAGAAGGACTACTCATCATTACTTATTGTATAATCCCCACACATACTCAAATGATGTGAACTATCATTTAAATTCAGTTACCTAAGGAAGAACATTTTTGATGTTTTGTTTGTCATTAAAGGCTTCATTAGAAATAAGTCACTATTTTCCTAATGACAGCAGAAAGTGTCATGGTTTGATTTTAAAGTTAACAGTCCTTGAAACTATATTATTTATTGGCTTATGGCCACATTAACCTCAATTCTAGCCATCTTTATATGATCTATTTTCTATAATTCATGATTAAACCTTATATTCACCAATCCATATTATGTTATTTTCTACCATTTATCATCAAAGGTTATTTGATTCCCAACAACGTCTCAGTTTGTCAGATGTCCTCTATCAGAGACTGAGACCTCACAGTCCAAGAAAGCCAACCTGCCATTTTTTACATCTTCTCGTGTGAACTTGATGTATTTATCCACAGAGTTGATGTGGTCAGTAAAATGTTGGACTTCCTGAGATTTAATTTTAACCC